AGCCTCAAAACTCCCCTCCATCGACGACCCCGACCCCGAACCCGCCGACTCCAAAAGCGGCGGCTGCAGCGGCAGTGTCGGCGGGGGCATGCCCAGCACCCCACCACGTATCGTCGCCCGCCCGCCTACCATCCCCCGGCGGTTACGCCCCGTGCGTCCGCGGCCCAGCCAGTTTGAGCTTCAGCAGCTTGTTGAGCTCCTCGACCATCTTGTTGCCCTCCTCTTCGTCGCGCGCTGCGGCTGGCGGTGGGCCGCTGTTGCTGCTGTTGCTGCCTGGCACGGCCGCGACGGGGGTCACGCCGACGGAGGCGAGCACGCTCATGCACTGCAGCATGCGGCCGACCATTTCGGTGACTTGCTTGGAGTCTTCGACGTTTTGTTCGCGGAGGCTGCCGATGCTGCCGCCGCCGCCGGCCCGCCGCCGCCGTGGCTGGCGGTGGTATTGTTGGACATGGTGGTGTGAAGGGCGAGGTTGAGGGTGGAGTTGGCGGCGGCGGTGACGGCGTTCATGCTGCTGGGTGTGAAGGGCCGCAGCGGGTGGGCGGCGCTGTCGCTGCCAAAGGAGACGTTGCTGATGGCGCGGCTGCGGTTGCCGCTGCCGGAGCTGTCGCCGAGGAGGGTGCTGCCGGTGCTGTTGTAGCTGGCGACGGAGGGGTCGAGGGAGGTGGCGGTGCCGGGGCGGTATTGCCCAAGCACGCTAGGAAGGCTTGTCGAGGCGTAGTGGTCGGAGGGCGAGTTGGAGAGTTGTTGGTTGATGCTTTGGTTGTGGTAGCCCGGGGACGGGATGGGGAGAGGCGGGGAGCCGAGCGCCATAGAAGCGAGGGATTGGGGGAGGAACTCGAGAGAGAGACGAGAGAACATGGCCTTGAGGGTATCGTAGCGTGGGAGGATAACGATGTCGCGGAATGCGAGAAGGACGAAGCGGCGGACTTCAAGAACTGAGGACGCCGGAGAGACAGTAATGCTATGGCTGCGGCCTGGTTTCTGGGTGACAGTCGATGTGCCATCACCCGTTGAGGCGGCCGCCGGGATACCACCCCAGAAATCGCAGGCTTGCTCCGTGGACATCAGGGGCCCATGGCCTGAAAATTCCAAATCCAACGGCAGGAACACGGCCTGCATGTAGGGAAGAATACTGGTAAAAGTAAAGATCCACAACTCCACGAGCGCTGGGATCAGTCTATCCTCGGGAGTCTTGCGGAGGGTGTGGTCGAGGCTGGAAAATCCCGTTGCTAAAAGCTCCCTCAGGTCGTCCACGATGATATTGGGACTCCGTCGGGCTAGGCAATATTGAATGTGCATCGTAACCACCCGGTTCAGGTCCTCGACCGGCAACCGGAGATCCTCGGCCTCAAAAACGACGAGCAGCTTGGCCTTCAGGAACGGCCAGGCATCGTCATGCGTCATGTTGTTCAGGCCGTACTTGTGGCTGTCAAACGGCTCATTGAGGTAGAGAGTGGAAGCCTGAGTGGCAGAGCCGGAAGTGACGCTGCTTGAACCGGGCCATTCGCTCGTGACGGCACTCGCGGTTTCGTCCAACGACTTCTCCTCCTTCCTTCTCTCCCGAAAGGCACGCCCTCCATGGCGCAGGTCCAATGCGGATTTGAAGCCCGTGGTGTTTGGCCCTGGGCTTTGTGGCAAACTGAAGTTGTAGAGACTACTCGGGGCGCTTGGATCAGCCGGCCGTGAGTTGCTCATGGCGGACGAAAGCGGGAGGTGGTGATCATCCTTGAGTTTGTGCTTCTGACGGGATAAGAAATGATGCTTCTTCTCCTTCTCCTTGCCTTCCTTCTCCGTAGGCATGTCGGCGGGTCGTATTGTCGCAGCTGAAGAGTTTGGTAGGCTGTAGAATGACTGGGAGCTAGATTCCAGGCTAGTAGTGCTGAAGTTGCCACGCTGTAAGTTTGCGAATGCGTGTCCGACCTTTCCCGGGCTAGGGAGCGGCTTGTCTTTGCTATCACTTTTGCTTCCAATTTTGACTTGCCGTGAGAAGAGTTTCACTTTCGATTTCTCCGGCTTTTGGGGTTTCTCAGATGCGGGTGGTGGAGGTGGAGGTTGAGGCTGAGGCGTGAATGATTGCGAGGGTATCCCGGGAGAAGCCTGGGTGGACCTCGGGAAGACAAGGTTGGCGGCGGCCGTAGCCGCGAGAGTATGGTTGCCAACAAGGCCATTATGGTAGTTCTGCCCACCGAAGGCATTATCTCGGGGCACGCTCGCCTCGGTGAGACTCAGCATTGGTGTGTTCAAAGGAATTGAACTGCCACTTGCCCGTTTGGATGGTGGTGGGTCATCCGCAGCAGGTCCCGGCGCGGTTTGTGAGCGTTGTCGAGAGTGTTGTGCCTGTTGCTGCGCCTGCTGCGCTTGTTGCGCTTGCTGCTGCTGGTTTTGGTGTTGCATTACGGCGGCCTGAGCAGCGATCTGGCTGGCCGACATCTCTCGGTGCGCCGGCGGCACGCGTTTCGGAGAGTGGTTCGTGAGGCCGATGTTGGGGAGATTGGACGTGCTTGTCGAGGGGAGGGTGGGCTCGAACAGGCCGGCGTTTTGCGACGTCTTGCGCGAATGGCTGACGCCTCGGCTGGAGAAGGTGGGTGTAACGGGGGAGGAAGTAGTTGGCGGGAGTGTTAGAGGCGAAGGTCCGTTGCGCGGAACAGCGTCGCTAGGTGACTGCGGCCCCGCGACAGAGCGGGCGGCGGAGACGGCGGTCGATACGGTCGGTCGGGAGAAGTTTTGTAGATTGGTGGTGCTGTTGTTGGCCCCGGTTGTGAAGCTTGTGTAGATCGGCGTTGGAGTTGGCGCAGTTTGTCCTCGCGTCTTGTGGATATCCAATGGCGCCGGTTCGTCGCTGGACAGCGAGTCCTGCCGGTTCTGTCGCGTGCGCGAGAGATCAGTTGTACTTGCCGGGTTGCTCGCAGGCAGGGGCGAGAAGCTCCCTGGAGCCCTCGGCGTGGGTCTTGTGGGTTGCATGGGTCTTGATATCGGGGTCGGGGTGAAGGAGGAGGTGTATCACATCTTGGCTCAACGGTCCGGATTCGGCGGTTTGCGACGCCTAGCCCTGCTCAAGAAGCCATGCCCTAGAGCGGTATTCGAGTGTTCGATGTTGTCGGGGTCGAGGAATGGTTAAAAGATTGATCGTCTAATTTAGAACTATTGTTCAAAAGAAAGGTATCGTATCGCTACAGAGGAGGTTCAAAGAATACGAAGCACGGGGAACATGGAATGGAAGTGTGCAAGACATGGAAATGCGGCTGCGCAGGGCAACCCAACCAACCCACCGTGTTGGTGTCAATTCGTCATCCCTTGCTGCAGCTGCAGCGACAGGACGCCACTCAAGCATTGTTTGGCCCAGCGACGGCCAAGGAACAGGGGAGGGGCAGTTCTGCAACCCCGCAGCCCGCCAAGTTCCTGGCGGGGCATTGCTGGACACTGGATGTTAATTGTCAACACACCCATATAGGTAGCTCCCAAAACTATCACCAACAAAACAACCAACTTTGATCGATGAAACGACGACCATCCACTTCACCGCCGCCGCCGACCTCGCACCCTAACAGCAGGTATTCTACCGAAACAAACAACCCTCCCAGACCCCCAAAAAGAACCTCCACAATGACCGCCCAACAACAACAACAACAACCCACCCTCTCCGCAACCTACACCTCCACCACCAACGCGCCCTTCACCGTTTCCCTTACCCTCCCCTGCGCCGCCGACAGCACAACTCTCGAACACAAGACCAAGTACCTTTCCGAGCTTCGGCAATCGGTGATATCCGCCCAGGGGCAGATCAACCGGGAGCTCACGGCGCGCATGGAGGAGGACAAGGCGCGGGAGGCAAGCACAGCGAAGGCCAACGGGACCAAGGTCGTCGACGACGAGAAGGAGGAGGAGAATTACGGCGAGGAGGTGCAAGAGGAGGAGGAGGATTAGAAGTGGGTTGAAACCAACCAACAATTTGGCCAAGGGGCGAGGTGGGCTCAGAGGTTAAGAAGGGGTATCCATCTGCGTTCGTTGAATCCAGTTCTGCCTGCACTACATGCGCCTGCCAACAGCCCGGCATAGCCAGGATGAGGTCCGGCCATCTTATATTATAAAGAAACACAACACACAATCACCCGCTAGTCCGCCCCCACGATCCAAACCCCGACCGAATACTCTCCCCCGCCGGCGAGAGCGCCCTCGCCCCCGACCCATTAACACCCGCACCCGCACCCGCCGCCCTCAAACAACCATAATGCACGACTGTATTATCCGGCAAAACCGCCACGACACTCCCGCCAATCCGCTTATGACACACGCCACACACCCGCTCCTCCGAAATCACCCACGCGCCGGTTACGACCACCGCCCTGCGCGCCGGGGACGCCGTCGCCGAGGAACAGCAGCTCCTGACTGGCAAGCAGAGCCGTCCTGCGCAGGCCAGCCAGCACGCGTGTCTCGTTGACCGCGCTGTTGGCGCTGCGCATGCGGCCCCGGAAGTACGACTCCAGCTGCCCGACGGGGAGCTTGTCGGGCACGAGGGATAGGGTGGATGTGGCTGGGAGGCGCGAGCCGTGTTTGGAGAGGAGGTCGAGGGCCGGGGCGAGGTTGGCGCTGTATTCTGGTGGGGGCGTCAGGTAGAGGGAGAGGAGGGTGTGGTAGATGGAAGGCTTTTCTTCAGTTGTGGTGGGCGGTTGGTGGGAGGGGTTGGCTTGTTGGGGTGCTGGGGTGGGGGGTTGAGGGGGTGATTGTTGGGTTTTGTGGATTTGGTTGCAATATCTGTGGAAGAAGAGGTTAGTGAAAGGTGATAAATACCAGGAATAGAAGTGGTGGATCATACTCTTCGGCTTTGGCGTAGTCCTGCATCTTGAAGACGTAAATCATAAGTGCCTGTCTGTGCTGTCCCATATTGCTGAGCACGACGGCTTGCGCTTCGTAAAACGGTGGGTCTTGGTGAACCGGTGTTAGTCCAAAGCCCAGGTCAAGAGTCCCGGATTTCAATACTCACCATCTTTGGGGAATTAAGCCCCCTCGCCTTGCCCAAGCCGGAATTGCTTGCTCTCTCTCAAGAACTTGACTAGCCGCTCCCAGAGGGGCATCCCACTCCTTCCCCCCTCTCCTTCTCCTTATCCAGCAGCTGGCTTAATGAAACAGCTCGACTAGCAGATCATGGAAGTCGGGCGTCATGTCATTCAGCTCGTTGATGATATGTTCTAAGTATTGGATCTCCAGCCCAATATCAACGCCATCCAGAAAAGCCAAAACTTTATCTCTCGGTAGTGTCTCGGCATTTTCAGAATCGGCAAGGAATACCTCCATGCCCAGTTCCGGGTCTTTCCTGAGCGTCCACTCAGAGAACTCCAGAATCACATCAATCATCTCGGGCGGCAGGCCCTGCAGATACATGACAGTCCGCTGGGGACCGTGCAGGCCCGGGGCGGCGTCGTCGGGCTCGTCGGGGCTTCCAAAGCGGCGAAGCAGGCTCAGGGCCTGGTGGTGCAGCTTCTTGCCGTAGAAGAAGTCGACGAGCTCATTGAAGCGGTTGTGCTCGACCAGGCGCTCGTTGACGACTTCCGGGTCGCAGAAGTTGGGGATGCGGAACAGCGAGCTGGCCAGCGTCGGGCGCGAGTACATGAAGGCGCGGAATAGGGTCGTGTCGAGCACCCGGAAAGTCGACTGTAGGTCGCGCTCGAGCTGCTCATCGCTCTCATCTGAGGACGAGAGGAGGAGGGTCTTGAAGGCGTCTTCGGTGGAGCCGGATTCCGACTTCCGGGGTTTAAGTTTACCTGTGGTTGGGTCGAGGACGCGTTGGAGTCGTGTGCGGGCGCCGGCGAGGTAGCTGTTGAGCCCCAGGACAGCAGCCATCAGGTCTTTCTCGGCCTGGGCCTGTTCGTCCTTTGGTTTGCCCTTGATGCTTGCTGTCTCGTCGTCGGAACCCTTCTTGGAAGAGGCGATGCTGGCTGTCTCGGGGTTGAGTTTCCGGGTGCCCATGAGGTATTTAGCAAACCCACCGCCGGCTCTCGTGGGCGAGGCCACTTCGGCTGCGATATCGGGTTTTGTCTCTTGGTCTTCGCTCCCTTTCCCGTTGGCACTGTCGTGCTCGGAATCGTCCTGCTTCTCTTCCTCGACTCCTAGCTCTCCAGCGATAATCTTGGGAAACAGCCTGAGTACCCGTTCCGGCGGGGCATCGACTTCGTCCTCATTGAACAGATCCATTGAGTCGCGGTACTTCTTTTGGCGAAACAAGAGCTCTGCTTTTTGCATCTTGACTTCCCGCAACGTTGCCGTCTTGTTTTTGAGCAGCGCATCTTCTAGCATGCCTAGGATGCTGATTGCCTCGTCGAGTCTGCCGTTCTTAACTAGCTCATCGATCTGGGAGTCGTAGTCCGTGGCGTCCATCCTCCACACCACCCTCTCGCTCAAGACATGGAATCCTTTGCCGGCGTGTGCCAAACTCACGGTCGGCGGCGGGAAATGAAGTGATGCGGCACCAGGGAGACTGATGGTTTGTAACAAACTCAGGGTATCGGGGTTCCGGACCTCGAGGCTCCCTTTCGCAGGCGGTTGGAGCGCTAATATGTAAGGGTAGCTGTACCCAATCCCCTCTGGCGCCGCCTGCCATGGAATCTGGCGCTTCTCGAGTGCCTTCCCCGAGTCGTCGATAAACAGGGTGTTGATATCCTTCGCGAGGAGGAGCTCCCCTTCCGCCAGTTTGGCCGATAGCGGTTTTGGCATGTAACCACCAAGGCCCATGTACCCCATGCTGGCAGCGCCCACGGCGCCAAAACGCCCTTGCCCACCAGCCGCGTTCCCAATAGCCCCAGGTCCAACAATATCCTCGACACTGCCAGTCTCCACATCAACCATGACGTATCCACTGTTCATGCCGCAGACGACCTTGGTCGCATTCGCCCAAGTGATGGATCTAATGGACTCGGCCAGCATAATCTCTGCCACATCCGGTGACAGCTCGCTCTCGTGCCATGACCATAGCAAGAGACGGCGCTTGACAGAAACGGCAAGCCGCGAAATGATCTCGGGGATGCCCGTGTCCGGGTCTTCGACGACGTTGCTCGTCACGGCAAACGTGGAGGCGTTCTTGGTACGGGCCAGCGGGGCCTCGATGGGCTCGAAGGTCTGGGAGTCGTGGATGGAAATGGCGTAGTTGGAGAGCGATACGAGGATGTTGGCCTCTTTTATTATGGCCAGTTGTTCGATGGCGCGCGTCGAGAACTTCTCTACCTCTCGCAGGAGGTCGGTCGGCTTAGCCGCCTTGGGCACGGGCGGTGGCTGGCCATCCTGAGAGGTTACGGGAGTAGGACTAGCAGGATCGGTAGAGCTGGCAAGACCGGTGCCTTCGACTTGCACCTGGGCGGCTAATGTGCTGTTGGCGGACTTCGAGTCGGGCCCCGTGTCGCGCTTCGTGTCGGGTGGAGTGGTGGGCTCATTAACTCGATAAATGCGCAGGGAGCCTGTGTTAAGCCCAACGAGAACACGGTCGCCTAGATATTCCAGTCAGTTGGATGCCGTGAGAAAGTTGGGATCGAAAATAAGGCTACCGTAGGCAAGGATGGACTCGATCTTAGACTTGTCCCGTTGCTTGAGCTCGATGATCGGTCGAGCTGTAAATGCGGACAGCATGGCGGCCGCCAGCTCATTAGGTTCGTGCGGTTGACGAAATTATCGGTACATCAGGGGCTGTCGGGGCCGCCGTGTCACGAGAAGCTGCTTATTGTTGATATTGCGAACTTGGGATGGATTCGAGGGTTGCTCGTGCCTGCCGCGGCCTTCGCTGGCCGCATGACGGCATCAGGCGGCCAGGCGCGGCGGTTGGGGCGAGCTCGCGAATGAGATAAGGGTTAGGGTCTATTAATGGAGTTTCACACTCAATCCCTGCTCTCTCTACAATGGAAGCTCTTTCCCTCAATATTTAGGATTACCGTCCAGTGACAATTGAATGAATTTGGTGTGCTGTGGTCTCAACCAACTAAAAGATGGTTGGTGTTTTGAAATACGTATTTGATAACCCAATCTCCTAACAACTTGGATCAGGAGGGGGAAGACCCGTTCAAGTTAGTTATTTAACCTTGATCTATAGAGCCGTGTATCCTCCGGTTTTCAAGCTCAACTTATTCACGAAACAACTCCACTCGATATAAGATGCTTGGTATAGCCCGCTTAGCATTTGCCTTGTATCACGACCACCTTGAGCCTGATAGGCATAGGGGACCTAAAAGTCGGCCCCAAGTCATTTCTCAACTAATCTCACTGGCACTGAGGCACAAACGTATTGAAATCAAAATCAGGAGAAAACAACTAAGAATCTATCGTTTTCTATCTCTGTAAGCCAAACCCATCTATAAACTCCTATTCCAAGAGCATCCCACCCTTCGAGGTATCATTAAGCAACCCGAATTCGAGGATTAAACCACGCTAAAAAAACAAATCCCTTGCGCCCATCACAGGCTATCACTCCCCGAATCAGTCCCCGGCCGCACCTTTTCCGCATCGGCTGCCGCCCTACGCTTCGCGGCCTTCCAGCCCGCAGCCAACCACGTCTCGCCACCGACCACCAGGCCGGGGTGAAAGACCGTCAGGAGAATGCAGGCCAACGCAATCATGGTTCCCTCGAGCACCATAAAGGTGACCTCGTCGTTGGCCAACGGGCCGTTGAACCCTTCCGAGAGCTCCGCGCACCGGAAGACGGAGCGCACAAAGATAAAGACACCCGTGAGCAACATGGCGACCAAAAACCCAGGCTGGAACGAACGCTGCGCGCGCAGATCCGCAAAGGCCGGGTTGAGGGCCGAGGTCGGGGTGGAGCGGACGCGGATCCAGAAGTCGAGGCAGAGCACGCCGAACAGGGCCAGGGCGACAACCTGCCAGGCGACGCCCGCGATCATGGTGTCGACGCCGGCCCTGAGCGCGGGTGAGCCAAGCTCGGAGATGGACGCGACCGCGCCGCCCGCTGCTTGTAGGACTAGTGCTACGACGTCGCATCCGATGAAGATGTATGTGTACACTTGGGCGGGGAGGCGCGCGCGGTCGGGCGCGTAGATGACGACTAGTCGCGAGAGGCTGAGGTAGATGCCCGCGGCGAGGAAGGCGGGCGCGATGGTCAGGCAGACGAGGTACCTGGAGGGAAAACGGGTTAATCATATGCCGACCGGACCGGAGATGAAAATGGAATCAAATAAAGGGGGGAAGAAAGGCAATGTAAGGGGTTTGGGAAAAAGCGAGAACTTACATAATAAAATACGAGTCGGTAAACATGTTGTCACGCATCAAGATCCTCGCAATGTACCCCAGAAGCTCGAGGAGGATCCCGCCCGTCATGCCGATCAGGTAACCCCAGGTCTTGTGGCGGATACCCAGGTAGATTTGCGGAAGTAGACAGAGCCCAAAGATGGCGGCGAACAGGGCGTTGCCGGCCAGCGAGGGGTAATATGACATGACACCGAAGTGGAGGCCATTGAGCTCGAGCGGGCAAGTACACGACGTGCATAGCCTGGGGTTTTGAAGCAGTGTCAAGTTGAACGTCTCAAGCGTGACGCCGCTCCAGTCGGGCTCGCCCGTTGCGCAGACCATGGTGTTGTAGTTAAGGGGGGGATGCTCAAGGTAGTCAGCGGGTGGTGTGTAAGTAGGGAGGTATGTTGTTGCGGTGGGTTCTCGTCTCTCTTTCTGCCTCTTTTTCTGTCCCTGAAGCTCGGTTGAGGCTAATCCAAACAATGCCCGGGGCCGAGGAGGTATGGGCTGGGAATTCAGAAGGTTCAATGCGGTCCCGGCGACTCTCAGGGGTTCAATGTTGATGTGTATGTGGAATGGGGAAAGAAAGTTCGAGTGTAAGCAAGAATAAGTAGGTATATAAGTATCTATCTAGGCAAACCGATGGTTAGGGGTTTCACTGTCGACCGTTTCATTTTCATAGCCCCGACTTCCTACGGCGTTGAGATTACCTATGGGCTATGCTCGTATGACGCGTCATCCAGCCGTTTCTTAATTCGATAATTATTGCTGAGCCTCATCCGTTTCAAGGTCTAACTTACCATGTAAACAGAAAAGCAGTCCGAGCAGGATGACGACCCGCCTTGGCGGCTCCTTCAGCTCAGCTCAATTTTAGAAAGGGCAGAGACGCGGCCTTCAAGGGCAACAACACGACCAATCAATCAAGCACATTGTCGTCATCATCCTCGTCCCCTGGATTTACACTAGTATTCGTCAAATGACGGGCCCGGGAACGGAGACACGGAGCAATTCAGATATCAACCTCCGTTCTTCCTTCTTTTTTTCTTCTTTTTTTGGTCTCTTTTCCTTCTTGTTTTCTTTTCACACTCTTTCTCTTTTCTTCTTTTTATCTTTTTTAAAAAATAAAATAAAAAAAAGGTTTAATCAGCCGGTCATGCCTCATTCATCTGCTTCCCCATTGAATGCTATTCTCGATGGCCCCGTCTGCTGCACGTTCAGAGAAAATCGACTGGTTGAAACAGCCTAACAGGTCGGCTCTCCGCCCGGTTCTCCCCTTGTGCTGCGAGTCTGCGGCACTGGCCTCGTGGCTCATGGCTCGTGGCTCGTTGCTAGACATTAGGTAGCCTTGCCATAAATTCCCATGTCTGTCCTAGTTCTTGTGTTTTGGTCAGACGGCACTGGAAAAGACCTCGATACTACCTGGGGTCGTGGGTCAAGGCGGCACGTGGAAGGCTTGTCTCAAATCCCACGCGCTTCTCCAATCCTGGAGACCGACTGAGCCACGGGTTTGGGGTCAAGGCGATACAAAGGGTTAGGGTTGTACCAGCGGTGAGAGGCTGATAGGCGCTTGTACGTAACGTATCGCGGCCAAGCCCATAATGTACGTAATTACAACACTTATGCCCCCCAATTTTACGGTTTCAGCGCTGGGATCACTGTCGCCAAGGCGTTCCAGGCTCCCGACCACCCAACGGGGGGTGGAGTCGCGGTGCGTAAGTGGGGCGGGTTGATGCCGTATTATCGCAATGTGCGCTGCAGATTGGGGAACCGAGAACCAGTCAACTTCTGCACCATTCATCGAGTCTACGGATGCCCTCGAGGCAGAATCATTGAAAATTCTACCCCCGTCCGCATTCTCGTCCCCCTCCCCAAACCGACCCGCTGGTCTTCGCGCGCAGCAGGCAGCCGCATCGACCGGACAAACACCTCCAGGCAATCTCGACAGGGGAGGGAGCCCGCAGCGTACCACGTCCGACAACCCATCCGACAACCCGTCCGACCAGATCGAGTTACAGCCATATCCGACCGCGGCCGAAAAGTACCGCGACTTTGCCAACGAACGCCAGCGCCTGTACGACATCAAGCGGGCCGAGAAGCGCAGGTGGCTCGAGCAGCAGGACGAAATGAAGTTCTCCCATAGCATCCAGTTCAATGCTGTTCCAGATTGGAGCAATCACTACATTGCTTATAGCAACCTCAAGAAGCTGTAAGGGGACCTTGGAACCTACCGTGGTTTATCGGAGGGCTTGATGCGCTAACATGTCGCCCCAGAATATACCAGCTCGAGAAGGCCATCCACCAGCCAGCGGGCGACGCCGAGTCCCGGCCGCTGATACAAGACGATAATCCCGAAGCCGTCTTTGGCCGTGCCCTAGACGTGGAGTTGGAAAAGATTACCTCTTTTTATGTCCTCAAAGAGAATGAGCTATTCGATGAGGTAGATCTCCTTCTTAAGGATGCCGAGGAATTCGAGGAAGAGGCTGGCGTCATCGATGAGGCTCGCCCACCCTCTCGGCCTCTCGAGAGGACAACTTCCAATCCGGGGCGGCTACGGAGAGGCAGCACGCGTAGCCAGCTCTCCACCGAGGATGGCATGGAGGAGGACAGCGATGAAGAAGGAGACGAAGAGACGGGTCTCACTAGCAAGAGACGGAGCAGAAGTTTGGGAGGGCGCGGGGGTATGCGGAACTCGATGATGGCCTCGACCGATATGACAGCGTCAACCGACTTCACGCGGTCGGTGCGGAGAATGAGCATGAACTACGACGACTACGCTGAGCAAGCCGCCCTATTCTCATCGGGGATCATGCTGAAGAAGCGGATGATCAACATCTACGTCCAGTTGTGCGAACTTAAATCGTATATTCAGTTGAACCGAACCGGTTTTAGCAAGGTTTTGAAGAAGTTTGACAAGATCATCGACCGCCGGCTGAGGCCCAAATACATGAGCACATTTGTCGACACCGCCTACCCCTTCCGTGCCGATACCACAAGGGGTTTGGAAGAGCGCATCACACAGATGGTGCAAGCATACAGTGTGATCGTCACCCACGGTGACTCAGAAACGGCAATTCGGGATCTCAGATCCCACCTGAGAGAGCACGTCGTATGGGAACGGAATACAGTCTGGAGAGACCTGATCGGGTTGGAACGGCGAGCCGAGGCTGCTAGTCTGGGCCATACCCTTCTTGGGGTTGACGCTGATGCCCAGAGGACGCGACTGCAAGGCGATGATGAGATCGTATTGCCGACCAAGGAGATAACGACTCCCCTGGGCCGCCTTGTCTGCCCAACCTGGCTGCTCACGTCGACGACACTCACTCTTGTCATCATAATCGCGCTCTTCTTCGCGATCCTCTACACTCCCATCATGGAGAAAGCCGAGCAACAGAACTGCCTGGCTATGCTGGTGCTCGTCAGCTTGCTCTGGGCCACCGAGGCGCTGCCGTTGTTCGTCACGTCGCTGCTCATTCCTTTCCTATGCGTCGTCCTTCAAGTCTTCCGCGACAAGGAGAAGCCGCACGCGAGGCTGGGCTCTAAAGACGCCACCGCCGCCGTCTTCGCCGCTATGTGGACGCCTGTCATCATGCTCCTACTCGGTGGCTTTACTCTCGCAGCGGCGCTCTCCAAGTGCGGCATCGACAAGCGCATCGCCACCTTTGTCCTCAGCAAAGCCGGCACGCGACCTAAGACGGTTCTCATTGCCAATATGGCCGTGGCTGCCGTCGCCAGTATGCTGATCAGCAACGTCGCGGCACCCGTTCTTTGCTTCGGTATCATCGAGCCCATGCTCCGCAACCTGCCCGCCGGCTCCCCCATGTCCAAGGCCGTCATCATCGGCATCGCCCTGGCCTCCAACATCGGCGGCATGCTCTCCCCGATTGCTTCGCCGCAAAACGTCGTTGCCATCGGCATCATGGAGCCGCCGCCCACCTGGGGCCAGTGGTTCTTCATTGCCCTCCCCGTCGGCATTATCTCCCTGTTCTTCATCTGGCTCTTCCTCCTCATCGCGTTCAAGCCCGGCCGCGGCACCACCATCGTGCCCGTCCGACCCGTGCGCGACGAGTTTACCGGCGTCCAATGGTTCGTCTCGGCCGTGACCATCGCCACCATCGGCCTGTGGTGCGCCTCGCACAGCCTAGAGAGCGTCTTCGGCGACATGGGCGTCATCGCCATCATCCCCATCGTGCTCTTCTTTGGCGTCGGCATCCTGACCAAGGAGGACTTCAACAACTTCCCCTGGACCATCATCATCCTCGCCGCCGGTGGCCTGTCCCTCGGCAAGGCCGTCAACTCGTCCGGCCTGCTGCACACCGCCACCCGCGCTATTACGGAGCACGTCGAGGAGTACAGCTTATACGGCATCCTAGTTGTCTTCTCAAGCCTGATCCTCGTCATCGCCACCTTCATCAGCCACACCGTCGCCGCCCTGATCATCCTGCCGCTCGTGTACAACGTCGGCAAGGGCCTGGACGAGCCCCATCCCAACCTGCTAGTCATGGCCGGCGTGCTGATGTGCAGTGCCGCCATGGCCCTGCCGACGAGCGGGTTCCCCAATATGAGTACGTCGTCCCTCCACTCTTTCTTTCTCCCCTCCCCCCTCCTCACCAAACAACAACCCCCAACCCCCGTAACTAACACAAACCGCACCTGCAGCCGCCATCATGAAGGAAGATCCCGCCGGCCAGCGCTATCTCAAGGTCAAGCACTTCATCCGCGTCGGCGTGCCCAGCAGTATCATCTCGCTCGTCGTGACCGTCACGGTCGGGTATGTGGCCATGCGCGTGACAGGCATGTAATCGCAAGAGGCGGGTGACACTCAGCCGGTGGGTGAAGGGAGATAACAGTGGTGGGGATGGGTTGATTGATTGATGGGTGGGTAGGTAGATCTGGGTTGGAAATTGGAAAGGCGCGGACGGGTGGGAAAGGGAGGGGATTGCATCTGTTACATTACGTCGCAAAGTACATGTCTGCATGGGAGGAGTAAGTTCTGTTGGTTTGAAGAGGGCGTCTCTTTTTTTTTGGTTTGTTCCTCTCTTTTTTCCCCCGTCCGAAATACCCGCGGATAGAATAGTTTTCAGCTGGTTGGTGCGGGCCTTGGATGCGGCTAGACATACCATACCGACAATGGCTCCTGAGGAATTGATAATTCGTTGTGTGGAGTTTCTTCGACTGCGTTTTGTGTTGTGGCTTTCATGCGATGTAGGGGGGCTCAATGCTATATATTCAATCCCCATTACTTCGTACCCATGTCCAAATGATTGAGTTGATCATGTCACACATTATACCACTAAGTTCCCTTGTCCCTTGCCCTTGGTCACCGTCTTCCGAACCCCCTCCTGATGATATCAAACTAATAAATAAATGGGGTATCAAGCAGCACGGTGTACGGTATTTCTTAACCACCCACGATTGCCGAGAAAAAAAACCCAAGCCCAGCACCGGAGAGGAAACCATCGAAAAAGTCCTAAACACATCATCCCACTTGTTGCGGGAACCACCACCGATTCTAGTTATCCCTAGTCTCAAACTGCCGCGGCAACCTCCTTCGTAGCAGGAGTAGTCGGCGAGATCGGCCCGCCCCCGCCACCGTTGGCAGCACCATGTGCGTGACCGTGTTGCCCGAGCGACAAGACCTTTTGCAGGCTTCTTCTAAACAGCGCCTTCCCCGAGGATCCAGCGCCCTCGTCGGAATGGGAATGGGACTGCGAGTGGCCCAGCCCAATTTCCTTGACCTCCTGCGTCGCCGCCGCCGTCGCCGCCGCCGTCGCCGCCGTGCTAGCCGTCTTGGTTGCGGCACCGCCCGAGCCACTAAATAGCCCGACGAGGCTCAGCCTCCTTCCCGACCCGGAACCCGCCGCTGCGTTCTTGTTCCGCTGCTTCTGAGCCTTCCATTGGCGCATGGCAATGACCTCGGCGTTCGGTGCTGGGACGGGGGCCGGGACTGTGTATATGGCTTTCGGGGGCCATTCGCCGTCGCGTTTCCAGCCGACAACACAGGCGCGCAACATGTCAGCGAGATTGACGGGACAGGAGGGTTGTTGGCTCTGAGTGACGACTTTATCGTAGAGGGAGCCGTACATGACGGCTGCATCAAAGAGCGCCATGGAGTTTGTGTGGAAGAAGTGTCAGCGACGGGAACGATGGTGTGGACTGGATGAAGAATAGCAGGGGCGCTAGAGTCTTGCGAGACTGTCCTGTGTGCGCCCGCGGAGTCTGAATCGGAGGCAGTCGTTGTGGATGTGCGAGTCGTGGTTGGGGAAATGGGCGAAGTTGGCCCGGACGGCGAGCTGGAGGTGATGACGGCGGTTTGGGAGACCGACGACTGTGTCTTCTGGTGCCTCCAAAAGAGGCGACGAGCGGAGGAAGGTGAGGCGGGACTTGCTGGCTTTGGCTTCAACCGTACCGTTTTTGCGCCCGTCCAGGCGTTGCGGCGAGCTTCGAAGCATGCCAGCCCAGGGTTCCATTTTATCTCATCCCGCACAGCTCTTCTCCGGCATGCGCGCTTATTTTCGATGGAATTGTGGACAGCCGCTCCAACGGCCTCCGGACTGTCAAAGCGAAAGGGGGAGGCTGAACTTTGAACCGGCCCATCGTCGTCTGATAGATCCGACGTCCATTCTGCCCGTGGCCGGAAGTGCATAGGATCTTCCGAGATGGTGCTGTACACGGACGCTGCGTCTGACTCGGAGTCGGCCTCTTCCCCTGGATCCCTTGGGACTTCATCATCGGTTGCCGCTAACGGCGGGGTGGCGTATTGTACGACGTCACCAGTTGCCCGGTTGCCCTCCCCTTGCACGGTGGCTGGGGTTTCTGTCGGAGTCGGTTCCGAAGCCACCACGGACGGCCATGTGAATTGCCAGTCGTTTCGAATCTTTTCGCCAAGGTACTTCTTTACGGCTTCCCTATTCCTGGTCTTGTCTTTACTAACAAGGTCGGCGTAAGGATCTGGGGGTGGTGGGTCGCCCTGGGGAAAAGAATTGCGGAATTTGGTGAGGGTCGTCCTCGGCGACCTATACAGATCTGAAAAGATCATGGTGGATGGAGTTGTGTCGAGAGAAAGCTCAGGAGCGAGGTGATCGCCACCGGTGGGCGCGCGTGACGCTTCTGGGGTAGCAGCCTTTATAGGAATTGGCGGCGCGGGGAGTTGGAGCTCGCCCTGAGTGTGCGGGGCGACCAGGCCTGGAAGTGGTATGATGGTCTCGCCAAGCAGGCCGGGACTGCCTAGACCTGTTGAAGGGGGTGCGTGCAAGCAAGGGTTAGTGATCTGCGTAGTTAACTTGGAGGCCAAGCTGCCGTGACATGTGCGCCTGCAGCCTCGTGCTTGGCCGACTGTCGGGAGGGCCCAGAAGCTGATGAAGTTGCACTCAATCCACAGTCGCGATGCTTGGCAATTGCGGGACATGTGGGATATTCCCGGGGGATCAAATAGAAAAGAGGAAAACTTTGAAAGGCGAGGAGGATGCTCTGGTTCGTCAAGCGAGGCCAAAAGAGGCAAGCTCGTGGCAAACTTGCAAAGTCGCCTAGACCGCTTATAGCGAACGAAAGAAGGAACGACGAGTGACATACCGGGTTCATCGAGTCCAGGGTTTTGTGCTGCCTGCGAATTCGGATTCACCGTCTGGGTATGACCCAGCGCGCCCAGCTGTTGAGGGCAATGGCAACCGCCAGCTTCGGGGGCGTCCGTGGCGTGTTGGCTGTGTCCACAACCGAGTCCGTCCTTCTTTAACAGAGGGCCATTTAGGTCAGGGATCAGCACTTTGTCGGATGGTTCGAGGACCTCTGATGAGATCAGCGGCCCGTCCTCGTCGCTGTGCATCCTGTTCCGCGTTGTGCTCAGCTTGGTCTGCTGCTTGCGGATTGGTCTGTCGAGCCTGGTCCAAGACTCCGAATCTGGGGAATGGCGGCAGGGTCCGACGCCACCTTTGCTGCCCGGTCCTGTCAATGCCCTGTCAATTAAAGTCGCTTGACAATTCAAAGACACACAGCTTCCCGCTTTCGGCTTCGAGTGTCTTCTTCCGTCTCGTTCTCTGTTCCTTAGCCTGGCGACCTAGTACTTTGCGTGACTAGGGTTGAACTAAAATAAAAATAAAAAAAAGATGTCAGACAAGACAGCCTCCGAGTGAGTGTGTGCTTGCTTGCTTGATGTTGAAAAAAGCGTCGGCGGCAGTGAGCCGGAGGTGGCGCCAGGGTGTGGATACAGGGTTTCCTGTGCGGGGGGGCTGTCCGTTTTCGACGATCGTGTGACCAGGATCGAGGTTTCTCAGGACTGCACGCGATCCCTCACTTTCAACGGGTGCGACCAATCATTCTATCCCCATATGCGCGCCTGCAGGGAGCTGTTCACAGAGAGTATCATTCGACCATGGGGAACAAACAGCCCATCCACTCCATGTTTATGATTCAAAACCCCAAATCCGTCCGAAATGCACCTTCACAAATGCTTCTTCGCTTGTCCTCTTGTCCTAGTATAATCCGTACAATTCAAACATTCAGCTTGCGGCAAGGGGGTCTCGGAAGGGTCTAGCCTCTGTGGGGAATCTGCAGCTTTCCGATGCATGCATCTCGATACCTTCTCCACTATCACAAGCGACAGCCGGCGGCGATGGGCGGTGAAGCAGGCAAGCCGACGGCGCACGACTCCGTTGGCCGGCCGAGTCGAGCTAGAGACAAGTTCTGTGTGAGATGATATGCTGTGCTCTATCGGCCGACAGGCCCTTGGATGAAAACTTGTTCTACAGTTTGATTCCCCGCGGAGATGACCGCCAGATCACATTCCGACGCACTTCCCCCATTGTGTTGAAAAAGTACATGTGTGTACATGCCCACTGCACTGTTCAACAGTGGCGCCCGATCGCCCTCACAGGATTTGACATGGACTCCCACCTCACTCCGCAGCAGAGCTCCCACCAGTAGCAGTTCGCCTCCAGCCACTACACTAACGGTGTCCCCAAATATCCCTCGAGCGACCAAGGCCCCACCACAATGACCAAAGAGCTCTAATGCATGTCGTTGATAGTGACATGTCGTTTCGCATTACGACTGGCGGTAGCCCACCCCCGTGACGAGGGCTTATTTCCGCCAAAATGCAAGATTCCGAGTGCCTCTCCGTGCCAATCCCAACTTTGCCGTCATTTCCGCTCACAGAGAAACCGCAATCTTCAAAAGGAGACCAACCATTACCATATACTCGTCCCTGTCCCAACCCAGCCCCCACCCCTAACCCTACACCATCTCCCCCCCTTACCGACTGCTCGCCGGAAAGCTCCTTGTGCTCAACAGCGCCCCCTTGACGCGCCTGATATTCTCCTTGGCCCGCTTGATCTCGTCGTCCGGCTCGTTCTTGTTCGGGCCGCCGTACATGGAGAAGTTGCCGACAAAGTCGGTCGCGGCCGCCGCGTTGAGCTTGTCCACGTCCTGTTGCAGCACGTCCATGACCGTGTGCACGTCGCCCAGCGTCTCGGTCTGGTCGCCCACGCTCTCGTTGAGCAACTTGAGCGCGGCCGTCAGGCGCGCGAGGCGCTGGCTCTGGTGGGTTGTGGGTGCTTCCTTTTGTTGCGAGTGGTGTGCGTACTGGGGGTTGGGGGACGAGGGGAGGGAGGTTTGGATGCCAATGTCCCGGTGGAAGAGTTCGGTCGGGTCGTCGTAGCTGCTAACCACGTCGTCATCGGTGTGCTTTTCGGTGGCTTTGGCGTCTTTCGGCTTGGACTCTGGGATTTCGGAGACGACTGTCTCGAGTTTGGCGACGAGCTTCGCGAGGTCTTGGTTGGCCGTGTCGTGGAGCGAGATGCGCGCTTCGGTGAGTGTGTGGACCATTGGCTCGACGACGAACTTGCTTGCGCCGTAAACGATGGTGGACAAGCCGCCGAAGGCATATAAGGTGTTGAGGAAGCGATTGACCGTAACCAAAGGTGGTGGCCGTTCGGGTTTGGTTAGGAACTCGGGATATGTTACGATTGGTGGTCGGTCTTCCTTCTTAGACAGCGGCGGCTCTATCCTTTCTTCTGGAATCTGGAGTTCGAAGCCCCGTCAGTTTAAGTCTGCGATGGCCAGCATGGCCGAAACATACCGAGGGTTGGGATTCTTGCCGCCCATCCTGGGTCACCTCGTTTAACAGTCCCTCTATGTCACTGTCTGCTAGTCCCTTGCTCTTGAGGAATTCGGCTTTGCGTTCTGGTGTTGTATTCTGCACCTCTGCATCTTGGAGAAACTTCTTTGCCTGCGCGAGCGTCTCTTCGCGCGGGGTGGTCTGCTCAGCCTCGGGAGATGGAGAGGGAGCTGGTGCAGCACCTTGTTGATCTTGCGGTTTGGACAAGACTTCCTGTTTGTTCTCTTCCTCGGATTCGCCCATTGTCGTGAATGTTGAAGCAATCTAGGATGTGACCTTTCGCGCGCGTACGGGTAATGGTAGAGAGAGCAAAGTAGTGTTTGTTAGGCTCGGTCCTCGACTGGCAATTCGGGGTTTGTAACAGCTCGGGACTGCCGAGGCTCGTCTCCAGCGGTAATTGGGTTACTGGCCCGTGCATCCCAGCCGGTTCGTGGGGCATCATGAGCCGACAGTCCCACCTAACTTACAGACCCCGGCTCCCTGGCCCAGGGGCCCACCAGCCCATCATGCCGCGGTGGCTATGGTCTCGCGAGACAGCCTGGGCCAGCCTTGTGAATGTGAGATCCAGGGTGAATGTTGGTGTTTTGTTATCAAACCGCCAATTTGGCACCACGCTGGTTGGAACCGCTGTCCCATATACATTCGTATACCTGTCTTGATATATATTATCTACCATTACGCGGCCAGTCACTCTTAATAGCCGGCTTGGTTTGGCTGTCTGCACCCTCTTGAAAAAGCCAAATCCACCAGAAACATCGCTGTGTTTGGTACGTACACAATCTTCTCTCAAGTCATTGGAAATGGTATCTGAGTTTGAGAGGAACACACCACCTGGGAGTATACTAATTTCAGATGACCTTCTTTTCCAGAGCTTCCGGAGATAAACCTCGATAGTCCCACCATCAGTCGCAGGCTACAAGCTGAAAGCGACATCGATCCAGATCAATCGGGACATCCGAGTCCAGCCACAACCGAATCTGACCACCCAAAATGTGAGTGATCTAAAGCAGTGTTAAGCCAAGTCTTCCAATGCTGCGGTGAAAAGGGGCTGCGCGACTGCGGGCTGTTTCTGTTGTGAGATGTGGTCACCATCTGCGACGCGCAAGTGTCAAGTTGACGAGGGGTGATGATGATGATGGGACGAGACCAAGCCTGAAATGCAGTGTCGTGTCGCTGCAGCCATCAATCACGGCTTTGATTGCTTGTGAAACCTACCGTCATACCAAACTGTGCCGGCTGTGCCTCGACGTCCATCCGACAACAACACAAAAAAACGAGCAAGAAAAAGCATCCAAGCCAAAGGCTGCACGCGTTGTTCAACGCCAGCGCCAGCGACACTTTTCAGACTCTCGGGACAGAAACCTGCAGGATCCGGATAGCGAATGCCGGGTTGCAGGCGGATCTCGCGCTTGGCTGGCTTGATCTGTGTGTGGGCACGCGGCTTGATTTGATGCCCCTGTGGCTTCTCTCCATTGGCACGCTGGGCTTTGATTGAACCTTCTCGCCACGGCAAGCTTATTCGAACGACACGCCCGATATGCCTGATGCCCCGGGCCATCTCTGAGCCAGATCCCCCACATCACTCGGACCCCGGCACAGACAAACGGACAATACCATCTCCTCCCTCGCACTACATCTCGGGCTTCCACCGCCACCATCAACACAACAACCACCATCATCATCAACATCACCACCCGCCATCATCACCGCTTAAATCACACTTACAGCATCTGCGTCTCCCAGACCGGGAATAGACACATCACATCACAACACAACAGCAACAACAGCAGCAGCAGCAGCAGCAGCCCCTCCAAAACCAGCATCATGTCTTCGCGGCCCCGTCGCTCGGCCGCCCAGCGCGCCACCGTAGCAATCACTGACATGGCCGACAGAGACCGAGAACCCACCGAGCAACAGCAGCAGCAGCAGCAGCAGCAGCGCACCATGTCATCGCGCAGCTCCCGCCGCTCGGGGAACGGCTTCGCCTCCTTCTCCCGGGGGCCGACCTCATCATCCCCGGCGAGCAGCAGTCCCGGCGGTAATGGTGGTGGTGGTGTCGGTGGCGGCGACCCCAACAACCAGCACATCCACCTAACCGTCAAGCTCCCCTCCAGCAAACTGCGCCAGGCCACCAGTAGCGGCGCGACCGGTAGCAGCAGCAGCGGCAAGCGCAAGTCGGCTGGTGGCAGCGTGACGGCCGCTGGTGCGGGTGGTGGTAAGGGTGGGGTGGGAGGTGCTAGCAAGCGGACGAGGGGCGGGAAGAAGAGCTATGTGATTGAGAGTAGCGAGGATGAAGAAGATGAGGAGGAGGAGGAAGAGGATGATGACGAGGAGGAGGAAGATGACGAGGAAGAAGAGGATGATGATGGGGATCGGTCGGTGGAGGGGTCCGAAATCCAGGTCGTGCCGCGGAGCTTTACCAAGGCCGAGAACGACGACGAGGATGACGACGAGGATGAGGAAGAGGACGACGATGAGCAAATGGAGGACGTTGGCGAGGACGATGCCGAGGGCGACGACGACAGAGACGACATGGATGTTGACGCTGAGGGCGAAGACGACGATGCTGACGCGGATGGAGACGTCGACATGGACGCCACCCCCGCGCCGAGGCCCCCGGCTATCAAGATCACCAAGCCTGCCAAGAGCACATCGACTCCTAGCAAAGGGAGAAGCGCGGCTGTGGCAAGGCCCGTCGCTAGAGACACAGCCATACTGAAAGCCCGGGCTGTCAATGATGAGGAAGAGGATGACGACGAGGAGCTGAGCGAGCTCGAGAGCGAGCCTGAAGACGTCACTGTTGAAGTCGCCAACGGCGAGGAAGACGCCGAAGGCGACGAGGACGAGGACGTTGATGCCGAAGGCGAAGAGGAAATTGAGGTGGCGGACGAGGACGCCGAGGGCGAGGATGACGTGGAGCTCATGAGCGGCGAGGACGACCTCAGCCGTGCTGACACACCCGACCTATCCAAATTGACCGCCCGCCAGCGGGCCAAGTTGGGCGATGTTTCGCACGAGTACATGAAACTATCCGATGGTAAGGACCCCGATTTGGTTCCCCCCTCGCTGCGGCGGATTCTAACAGAACACAGAGGTCCAAGCCAAAAAGCACTTCACCGCCGAGGAACTCTCGATGCGCCGCGCCGAGATGGCCCGGCGTAGACGCAACCTCAGCGACAAGCGCAATGAGGAAGTGAAGGTAACATTTGCCCCGCCCTCTATCACCACCTGGATACATGAGACTAATATCAAATCCCGCAGATGGAAACCATCAACAAGCTCCTCAAAAAACAGGCTCCGAAAACCACGCGCAAGAACGCCGCCCTCATGGCCGGCGGCGACGAGACGCCCGACTCGGACGGCCAGCGCGTCGATCCCATGTTTGTCCGCTGGGTGAGCACTAAGACGGGCAACAGGGTGGGCGTGCCTGATGATCTGCTCACTGGCCCCGTGGGGGAGGTGTTCAAACCTAGCGGGGAGGGACTTCGGGGGAAGATGGTCGAGGAGGTGTCTTGATTCCGGACGGGGGGTTGTACGCTTGGGAGGGTTGCTTTTGCTCAATAGTATAAGAGCGTTTATTGGCGTTTTTGGGGACTGGCACACGAAAATGCTGTGTCGTTATTGATGGTCTGGTAGTAATATATCGGGTTTCTTTACATTGGGGTCGCACTTTACATGTTTGGTGAGGGAGGGGTATATTGTGCTCCAGTCGTTACATCTCCCTGTTATTTTATTTTATTTTTGCCCAGCGTTGAAGTACACTACACCCTCATTTCCAAGGAGACTCTTATTAAACCAAGCTAACCGTTTGTTTATTATTGGGCTAGGGTGCGGTTCTTCCCCCTGGGTCTGGCCTCAGGTAGGCGAAGAGGGCAACTTTGTCGGCAGTATCTGCCAGCCATGTAAAGTACCTACGCTACCTCCCTGTCTTTAAGTGGAAGTTGCTTGACTATTTCCGTCTGGATTCCTTGGGTAAATGATCGTAGGGGAGCTAAAATGGTTGAAAGTGGCACAACAGTGCCGGTGTTCTTCTACTCCTACCGTGCCTCTGCTCTCAACGCTTCAGGGGAGGTTGGGAATATGTGAACTAAGAATTTTGCAGCATTCCCGAGCAATACTTTGGGGGGTAGTTAAGTTGGCAGGTTATCGTTGCCTCCAGCCACCGTTTCCCACTTCTTCCTCTCGTGGTTTCTGAATTGACCTTCTTTTCCCAACACTCTACCACCAACTTCGATCTTCAACGACTGAGATTCTGCTTCCAACTTTCCTCTCCAGTTGATATCAACGGGGAGAATACTTCCCTGGTCGGTTCGGTTTTGGCTGCCTAACTTCTTGACCGCGCGTTCCGTTTCTCTTACTCGGCGGTTCGCAAACCCGGCCATCAAGTACGAGATAATCCGCTCTCACACGCGATTTTTCCGTTTCTCGCGTTGGCTTCGCGATTTAAAAATTTTCCTTTCCCTCAAGCTCTTCTATTTCTGTTACCCCTCTTCGTCTTTACTGCTCGAGCGATCTCGCACTTCGCTCAACCACTTCATCAAAACCACCACCAGTTCATCGCGCGTTTCGCCGCCGAATATGCGGCATTGATCAAGTTATCGACTCGATAAAAAAATGTCTTCTGCTGCCAGCCCGGTCGCTGGCGGTGGTTCTGCTACCACCAAGCAGTCAGGCACTGCTATTGTTGTAAACGACGAGCTTGTCTCATACCCTGCCCGTCCTGTCTCTCAGTCCAATTATGAGTTGAAGGTAAGTGTCACTTGGATGATCGATCTGACATGACCAGCTTGCTAATTTTGACAATCAGGAATATGCCTCTCCCGCTTACACCACGCCCGTTGATCAGGGTGTTGGTGTTGAGCATGTCGACAACAACAACGATGACAGTTGCTCTGACGTTGACTCGCTTTTTGGCGACATCAGCAATATGAATGAGTATTTTGAGAACGCTCTTGAGAACGAGAGCAACGGCAATGGCAACTCACTGCCCGAGGACAGCGACCACACGACTTCTGGCTCTGAACAGGTCAAAGCCCCCGAAACGCCAGTCGAGAGAGACCAACTCCTCTCGCAAGTATGGCGAGCTGACTGGCTCGGATGACTGCAAGCCTATCCCGGTGACGCACGACTTTTTGACTTCCCCAACGACCATCGACGAATCCACCAATGCAGTTACAGATCCCCATGAGGAATTCCATGACAATGACAGAGTTAGCAACTCCGCCATCACTGTCAACCAGGCCACCATTGGCAACGGTGACCACCACAGCGGCACAATTCCCACAAACAGCTTCAACAACAATATTCTGTTTGGCCCGGAGCTACAAAAGGCACTATTCAACAAACGGCGAGGCTTCGGCTGACCCCAAACTCCCCGACTCAGAAAATACCAGTGGCCTCCTCCCTGGCGGCACCCAGTCTGCCCAGGCGACCCCCATCATTGCCGAGAGCAGGTCACAGCGGCGACCCACCCCCAACCCCGGCTGGCATACCTATTCAGCATGTCATTAGGTACGGAGGGGTCTCGTTTGATGTTTCCAGTTATGTGAGTA